ACACCGTATGAACTATGGTTTGGCAAGAAACCAAAGTTGTTGTTTCTTAAGGTTTGAGGCTACGATGCTTATGTCGATAGGCTTCGGTCAGAAAAGCTCGAACCCAAAGCGGAAAATTGTATCTTCGTAGAATACCCAAACAAGACGATTGGGTATACCTTCTATCTCAGATCTGAGGGCAAAGTGTTTGTCGCCGAGAACATGTCGTTTCTCGAGAAAGAGTTTCTCTCAAAAGAATCGAGTGGGAGGAAGATAGAACTTGATGAGGTTGTTGAACCTTCACTTCAACCAGAGAGTAGCGTGGCACAAAAAGATGTTTCTGTGGCAACTACGTCAGTTGAAGAGAAAGCTAATGATGATGATCATGAAGCTTCAGATCAAATTACTATTGAACCTCGTTGGTCGACAAGGGTGTGTACAAGTTCTCAGTGGTAACCCTGTCTTAAAGGTCATGTTGTTGGACAACGATGAACCTATGAGCTATGAAGAAGCGATGGTGGGCCCGAATTCCAACAAATGGCTAGAAGCCATGAAATCCGAGATAGGATCCATGTATGAGAACAAAGTATGGACTTTGGTGGACTTGCCCGATGAACGGCAAGCCATTGAGAATAAATGGATCTTTAAGAAGAAGACATACGCTGATGGTAATGTCACCATTTGTGAAGCTCGACTTGTCTCAAAGAAGTTTCCGACAAGTTCAAGGAGTTGACTATGATGAGACTGTCTCAATCATAGTGATGCTAAAGTCTGTTAGAACTATGTTAGTAGTTGATGCATTTTCATTTACTAAATCAGGCAGATGGATGTCAAAACAAAGTTTCCTTGACGGTTTCCGTGAGGAAAGGTTGTATGTGGTGCAACCAAAAGGTTTTTGTCAATCCTAAGGATGCTAAAAGGTATGCAAACTCCATCGATCTTTCTATGGACTGGAGCAAGCATCTCAGAGTTGGAACATACGCTTTGATGAGGCGATCAAAGCATTTGGGTTCATACAAAGTTTGCAAGAAACTTGTATTTACAAGAAAGTGAGTGGGAGCACTACAACATTTCCGATAGGTATATATGGATGACATATTGTTGATCGGAAATGATGTAGAATTTCTAGAAAGCATAAAGGGTTGTTTGAATGGAGTTTTTCAAAGGAAGACCTGTGTAAAACTTCTTACATGTTGGGTATCAAGATCTGTAGAGATAGATCAAGATGCCTGATAAGACTTTCACAGAGCACTACAGGTATCTCTGAAAGTGTTTGTTGGGTTGGCACGAATCGAGACTGGGATTTGTCACTTCGTATGACGGAGAGGTATCTCTGGGCCCACTCGGTAATGCATCATCATAATGAGCTCAATGTGACTAAGGAGTTAGCCACGGGATCATGCGTTACGGAACGAGTAAAGAGACTTGCCAGTAACAAGATTGAACGAGGTATGAGGATACCGACGATCGAATCTCGGGCAAGTAACATACCGATAGACAAAGGGAATTGTCGGGATTGATTGAATCCCCGACATCGTGGTTCATCTGATGAGATCATCGTGGAACATGTGGGAGCCAATATGGGTATCCAGATCCCGCTATCGGTTATTGGCCGGAGAGATGTCTCGGTCATGTCTGCATGGTTCCCGAACCCGTAGGGTCTACATACTTAAGGTTCGATGACGCTAGAGTTGTTATGGGAAATAGTATGTGGTTACCGAAGGTTGTTCGGAGTCCCGGATGAGATCTCGAACGTGAAGAGGAGTTCCGGAATGGTTTGGAGGTGAAGATCGATATATTGGACGAAGGGTATTGGAGTCCGGAATTGTTCCGTGGGTACCGGGTGACGACCAACGTGTCCGAAAGGGGTTTTGGAGGCCCCGACAAGCATTGGGGGGGCTTATGGGCCAAGGGGAGGGGGCACATCAGCCCACTAAGGGGCTGAGCGCCCCTCCCACCCCATCTCACGTAACCTGGAGAGGTGGGGGCGCCTCCCCTAGGGCAGCCACCCCTCCCGGCTTGGGGGGCAAGTTTCCTAGGGGTGGGGGCACCCAAACCCATCTAGGGTTTCCCTTGTGGCCGCCACCCCTCCTCTAGGGAGCCCCAGGGCGCCTCTTCCACCCCTCCCCCTATATATAGTGAGGGAGAGAGAGGGCAGCCGCACCCTTCCCTTGGCGCAACCCCTCCCCCTCTCCTACACCTCCTCCTCCTTCGCAGCGCTTGGCGAAGCCCTGCCGCAGAACCACGAGCTCCATCACCACCCACAGCGTCATGTTGTCAGAGTTCTCCCTCAACTTCTCCTATCCCCTTGCTGGATCAAGAAGGAGGAGACGTTCCCGGGCTGTACGTGTGTTGAACGCGGAGGCGCCGTTGTTCGACGCTTAGATCGGAATCGCCCGCGATCTGAATCGCCGCGTGTACGACTCCACCAACCACGTTCTTGTAACGCTTCCGCTTAGCGATCTTCAAGGGTATGAAGATGCACTCCCTCTCTCTCGTTGCTAGTATGTCCTAGATTGATCTTGGTGGCACGTAGGATTTTTTTTGAATTATTGCTACGTTACCAAACAGATGGCTATGCCCCCCGCCGCTTGACGCGACTCCAAGGTCGCGGCGGCTAGGATTAGGTGCTTCTAAACAAGTTTGTATCCCAATCCCTACCCCAGATGTAATAAAACAATGACCGTAAGAACCCTAGAAGCCATCGATGCAGAAACGATGTATTCGAGGGTTCATCGATAGTGTTCCCCTAAACCAATCCCACACCCCCGATGTGTTCCATCCCCTCTCTAACGCTCCAACCTTGTCCACAAATCGAATATACCGCGGCTCAGTAGTGGTAAATTGAGAGACATGGTAAGGGCTTACTGCCATGGCCGATGCTCTGGTCAATCCGCTGCTCGCCGCCTTCTTGGATCGTCTTGCAGTTGCTCCAATGGTCGCCGCCGCCGGTGTGAGTGGGGAAGAGGGGGGGAGAGCGATGAAGAAGGGGGTGAGGGTAATTTATGACGCAGCTTCGGGAAACAACGCGACGTCTCGAGACCGCATCCACGCGTGCAACCGCCCATGCCCACGTGCCTAGGGTAGCATCGCTCGGGCCTGGCTCCGGAAAAAACTTGGCCAATTTGGGTGTTTGTCTGGATGCAGGCCCAGAGGTGCTTTAAGTTTCGTGCGGGCCAACTTTTAGATGTGACGCGAGCAACGAAACTGGCCGAAAACTGTCCATGCGGACCTGGCTGGGCCTAATGCAGGTATCCAAACGCGTCATGGGATCAGTAATGAGTAGTTAATTTTCTCTGCATGAGACACTTTGACCAAAAAGGAAAACACAATTCAATACAGTCCACTTTTTTAACCGCACCAGGTCCTTCTTGAGATGTCCATCTCAGGAGCTTTTGAAACACAACCCCACAAGGTCCGGCGGCACCTCTCGGCGCTCATGAGAAGACGCCGACGCTGACCGCAGCTATAATAGGCCAGCCTCATGCTGGCGCTGAAGCGTGCGACAGCACCGCCTCCGCCCCTCAGCCCGTGCCGCAGCTGTTGCCGGCACCTCCTTACAGATTCGAGTGATGTGCCCCCCCCCTAAGAATAGCGTGAGGAGTCTGTCGAAAGGCCCAAGCCTGAGACCACCGGCTAGCGACAGGAAAACACCGATGGCGAGATGACCTACCGGAGGCCATGTAAGCCGAGAGAGGGGAGAAAATGTGGATGCAGGGATCAGAGTGGTCACCGTCGGGCATGTTGGTAGTGGACGCCGACATTGGAGTGGCCATCGGCAACAGCGGAGAGAGGGGCGGGCTCAGGAAAGGAGATAGTTTGCTTTAGGGAGTATCTATCATCTCTTTAACGGTATACTAAATGGATATTTTATTATAGACTATAAACGGACTGAAATGAGCAAATAAATGCACTAAGGCCCCGTCTGCCCGTTTTCTGGCCGGTTAAGGCCTCCTTTGGTTTGGAGGATTTTTGTAGGAATTTTATAAGATATGATTTTTGTAGGAAAAATTCCTTTAGAGCCCTTTGGTTTGTCGGAGTGGAATCATATTCCTATGGAGGAATTCTTCCTATACTTCACATTTCATAGGAAAATTCTAGACTCAATGAAAAAAATCATATGAAGTGAATCAAAGGACATCTCCTTTTCTATTCATACTCATAGGGTTTGAGATGCATGTCATCTCATTTCCTATGACTTTTCTATTCATACGATTTTCCTACCCTATGAACAAAGGAGGTCTAAGATATGGACCTCCTCCAGTTGTTTTTCATCCCAAGCACAAAATCAAGTGTTGACCTATAACTTGCACCTGTAAAATAAATACAGGTGTATAAACTTACATCCATTTCAAGCGGGCTCTAAAATGTGTTTAAATAAGTCTGAATCGAAAAAAAGTAAAATAATAGAACATCTTATATCTGTGAATGGAGAAAGTAACAAACACCGCACCACTCGATTTTCCAAAAGCGCACCATCTCCACTCTTACAAACGTTGACCGTTGACAGTCCGTACACAGTGACGTGTGTGGCAACGGCGAGACTGTTTGCGTTGCGTTGCGTTGTCCGCGCACGAAGCATGTCACGACCTCGCCTCTCACGCCTCCAACGCACCACGCCCACCACGGCGGGCCACGTGGACGCTTCTCCACGCGGCGCCTTCCCATTGGACAGGTGACTCAATCCCCTGCCGGTCCTGCCCCGTTCTACTTCCAAACCAATCTACCCACCAGCCCCTCACACTTCCCATATTTCTCAAACCACCCACCGCGGCAGAAACCAGCACACCAACAAGGCCCTACTCCGTGATCCAAAAATACTTCCAGGGTCTCGAACGCAAAACCTTCTAACAGCAGCAGAAGAAAAAGAAACGATTTTTGCAATCGGAAATATAGCTCGCACGCACGCCCGCCCCTCCCTCCCCGTCGAGATCGTTCTCCCGTGCTCCGGCCCCGTCCACACTCGCCAGCTCCAGATCTCCAAACCCTGACCCCCCCGCATGCCATCGCGCTAGCCCCCCATGGCGCCGCGTCTCCTGCTCCTCGCGCTCGTCGCGGCGGCCGTGGCCGTGCTGCCGGCGAGCGCCGCGGTGGCGAGCATCGACCTGGGCTCCGAGTGGCTCAAGGTGGCCGCCGTGCACCTCGCGCCGGGCCGCGCGCCGATCGCCGTCGCCATCAACGAGATGTCCAAGCGCAAGTCCCCGGCGCTCGCCGCGCTCGCCGACGGCAACCGCCTCGCCGGCGAGGAGGCGGCCGGCATCACCGCGCGCCACCCGGCCAAGGTCTTCTCCCGCATGCGCGACCTCCTCGCCAAGCCCTTCCCCTACGTGCGGGCCCTCGCGGACTCGCTCTTCCTCCCCTACGACCTCGTCCAGGACGCGCGCGGCGCCGCCGCCGTGCGCGCCGACGACGGTCAGGTCTACACCGTCGAGGAGATCGTCGCCATGGTGCTCCACTACGCCTCCGGGATCGCCGACGCCCACGTCGGCCTGCCCGTGCGGGACGCCGTCGTCGCCGTGCCGCCCTACTTCGGCCAGGCCGAGCGCCGGGCCCTCACGCAGGCCGCCCAGCTCGCCGGCTTCAACGTCCTCGCGCTCGTCAACGAGCACGCCGGCGCCGCGCTGCAGTACGGGATCGACAAGGACTTCTCCAACGAGTCGCGCCATGTCATCTTTTACGACATGGGCTCAGGCAGCACCTACGCCGCGCTCGTCTACTACTCGTCCTACAGCGCCAAGGAGTTCGGGAAGACGGTGTCTGTCAACCAGTTCCAGGTAACAATTCTCCCGCCTCCAGCTCCTTTAGCTGTTCAATTCTGCTTCAACTCATATGCCTGCTTGTAAGATCTCTGAAGAAAAGATTGTTACTTATGCTTTCACATGCCTAGCTGATAGTAGATCTGGCAAAAAAAACATGAATTTTAGCTGCTATCTCGAATAGATAGCTACAGAAGAATCTAGTGCTAATGCTTTTAGCCAATTCCTCTGCAGGTTAAGGATGTCAGATGGAACTCCAAACTTGGAGGCCTTGAAATGGAAATGCGTCTGGTAAACTATTTTGCCGATCAATTTAACAAGCAGCTTGGCAATGGGGATGACATCCGTCAGTCTCCTAAAGCAATGGCTAAGTTGAAGAAGCAGGTCAAGCGCACGAAAGAAATTCTGAGCGCAAATACTGCTGCTCCGATCTCAGTTGAATCTCTATATAATGACATCGATTTCAGGTGCGTCCTTCCATACATGCATAATCTTTGGATGAACGTTTATATGAAACTTAAAGATGAACCAAACTGTACAAACAGGCCAGCATGTCCCATCTTATGTCCTGGATCGGTTCTGAACACATGAGCCTTTTACTTGTAAGCAAACATAATCTAGAGTAGCATGGATGACAGGCCCTGTTATTTCATATTTGTCAAATGGTCTGACCTTTGATAGATCAAGTTGATTCCTTTGTCTCCTTTGAAGTGCATAAGTCTGTCTAGGGCACATCTAGATGTGCCCTAGTTGTTGCACATCTAAGTGACTCAATTAAACTAAAAAGAAAAAGAAAATGACAACAGAAAATGTCTGCATGAATCTTCGCGTAAAATCAATGATATAGGACTTAGATGTGCAATACTTAGAGCACATCTAGATGCGCTTTAGCAAAACTGAAAATAATCAATGACATAGGACTTAGATGTGCAATATTTAAGGCACATCTAAATGTGCTTTAGCAAAACTGTTGAATAAAATTTGTTCTGGTACTGCTTTTGCATATCTCTTGTGGATAGTTTCTACTACATTGAAGTTCTGCATCCGTTTTCATTGCATATTTATGATTATGTGGAACTTGCAAGATTATACCGGCTTCTTAACTTGTCATTGTTGGTATTTTCCGTAGGCCCATTGACCATTGATGTCCTTATTCCTTAATGCTTTGTTCTGTAATTATTGATCTTTTACCCCAGCTCATGCTTTCAGCTTTCCCTTAGTTTTTCTCAGATCATGATTAGGAAAAAAATTCAAGGTTTTACATGCTGACCGACATGCTGTTTATTACAGGAGCACCATAACACGTGAAAAATTCGAAGAGCTTTGTGCAGATTTATGGGAGCAGGCTCTGACTCCAATCAAAGATGTGCTCACGCATTCAGGCATGAAAATTGGTGACATATATGCTGTAGAGCTGATTGGAGGAGCTACCAGGGTACCAAAACTGCAGGTGATTATCACTCCTCCATTCAAGATTTATACTACTTGACTTGCCATTGAGGGGCTGTGATGGAATGCAGGACTATTGCATTGTTGAGTTTCTGAAACTTTCTGTGTATGCTCATGTAAACTAAACTGAATTTAGAACCTGGGTGCATGCGATTGCCTGCTTCTTATTTCACCTTTTCTCTCGTAAGAAGGTTTCATCGTGAACGGAATTCAGTATTTGGCATGGGGTTTATAAGCTGCTGTTATTCATACAGAGGACTTCATTTACTTATGGAATAGAGTTAGATGCCTTATCTATCTGTACCATTTATTATTATTTTGAATCTCAGTGCTTTTATTATTTGTCACATTTTGACTCACGGGGCACATTTGTATTCCTCTGTTCCAGGCTAAGCTGCAGGAATTCCTGGGACGGAGTGAGCTAGATAAGCACCTTGATGCTGATGAAGCAATTGTTCTTGGTGCCTCACTGCATGCTGCTAATCTAAGTGATGGGATTAAGTTGAACCGCAAGTTGGGGATGATTGACGGTTCTACTTATGGTTTCGTGTTTGAAATAGATGGCCCAGATTATGTCAAAGATGAAAGTACTGATCAAGTACTGGTTCCAAGGATGAAAAAGATGCCAATAAAGGTTAAACAGTATTAGTCAAGCTTTTACTGTCGACAAACTTTGCCTGTTGTTTGAAAAAATATATCTGAACAAGATTTTTATTTGTCTGTTGTCTACAGTTGTTCAGGTCCATTAGACATACTAAGGACTTTGATGTCTCTCTCAGCTATGACAAAGCTTCTGAATTGCCCCCAGGTGTTTCGTCGCACAAGTTTGCAGAGTATGCCATATCAGGCCTGGCTGAAACCAGTGAAAAGTAAGCACAATGTTGATGTTATTTTGGTGCGCAGTCTCAAGTGTCAACTCTCAACCCTGCTCATAGTCAACTTAACAGCCTGAAAGGACCTTTATGTGAACTAATATTTATTGTGAATAGTCTGTCTGTAAAGTTGTAATACATATATGGTCATGTCAATATAATTCCAACTAAAAAAGGGCTCTAGCGCCTTGAAAATCAAGTGGTACTGCCATTCTGTTGTATTACTTGTATTCACCTCATGTTTTGGTTCAGTGCATCAATTTAAGTATTTAACAATGTACATTTTTCAATCAGGTATGGAAGCCGCAATTTATCTGCACCCATCAAAGCAAATCTACACTTTTCTTTGAGTAGAAGTGGAATTATTTCTCTTGATAGGGCAGAAGCAGTGATTGAGATAACTGAATGGGTTGAAGTTCCAAAGAAGAACGTAACACTAGAGACTAATACCACCGATGAGACTTTGTCTGCTGAATCAGGAACAACTGATAGTACAACAGATAGTAAGGAGAATTCTAGTTCAGGAAGTGATGCTGATAATACGAGCACTACCAATGATGAGACCAATGTGCAAGATACTATTACAGAGAAGGTGCTGAAGAAAAGAACCTTCAGGGTTCCATTAAAGGTAAACTATACTTGGTAAATTTATGCTAATATTGACATGGCATAGAACATATGACATAGATTAATTTTTGCGTCTTACTTTTTAATATAGGTCACTGAAAAAACAGCTGGTCCTGCATCAACCCTTTCGAAGGAACTGTATTCTGAGGCAAAAAGTAGGTTAGATGTACTTAATAAGAAGGATGCTGAGCGGAGGAGAACTGCTGAACTGAAAAATAACCTTGAGTCTTACATATACTCTATGAAGGAAAAGGTACCTTTTCTTTGCAAAGTTTTTAGCTTGTTGTGATGTGAACATTACCAGTACGTGGCATACTATACTGTGCATTACTTTTTATGTGACGCACCTTATTTATTTTTGACTGCTTAATTGCTGCCATTTGACACATCACAGTTGGAGGAAAGCACAGATATGTTGGCCGTCTCAACTGAACAGGAGAGGGAATCTTTTACAGAGAAACTCAGTGAGGTTAGTCAAATAATGGATCTTGCTCGGGGTATAATTTGTCTAGGATATGTCTCATGCTGAAGTTGTTGACAAATGCAGGTGCAGGATTGGCTGTATATGGATGGTGAAGAGGCTCAAGCAAACGAATTTCAAGAGCGGCTTGATCAGCTTAAGGCCATGGGCGACCCAATTCTTTTCAGGTAATTAATTTTTATCAACTTAAGTTCATATCACTCAGTTACTGATATTGTTTATTTTTTGTTATACAGAATGAGTGAGTTAAAAGCCCGACCAGCAGCTTGCGGAAGTGCTCGATTGTATCTTACTGAGCTACAAAAGGTATCCCCGAGATGAGCAAATGACTTCTCTTATCTAAAATAATTTGTTCTTGACACAATGTACTTGAATTTCGTATAAGAACCAATATTGTTTACGTGATTGCACCTAACATAATGCTTGCATTAAGAAAGAACATAATACTTGAGCAAAAAACATTTATCTGGAAAGGTCAAGCATTGCATTACAACACAACTTGTTGGCATGGTTCATCCTCCACCCGTCACTGCCACAAAACAAAATTTCATGCACTGGTCATTCTTCATTTTCATTGGTTCTTGAAGCTGTCATTGCACTAAAATATTCAGAAGAGATCATGTCAGTGCAATCTTGAATCCTTTCTTACATTGCAAATTTGCAAAGTAGATTACCTGATAATAATCAGGCTTTTGTAGGCACAAAAAAAGTGAAGTTTGGACATTCCTGAGTTCCAAATAAGCTAAACATGCACTACATTTTAGTTTATCTGCATTATAGTACTGTCGAGTCTTAAAAATTGTAAGATGGTTCTACTAAATGGGTTCTGTGTTGTTGCATTCTCATGTATTCTTTCTCTTTTTTTTTTACCCTGCAGATTGTGAAGAACTGGGAAACAAGCAAACCATGGCTTCCAAAAAAGAGAGTAGATGAGGTCGTAAGTGAAGCAGATAAGCTGAAAGCTTGGTTGGAGGAGAAGGAAACCCTACAGAAGAGGTAGGCCTTTTTTTTTTACAGAAAAACCATTCTTGAGTTCTATTTACGCTCAAGTGGCTAACTCCAAGCGACCATTGCAGTACCCCTGCCCACAGCTCGCCTGCCTTCACATCTGAAGAGGTCTATCAGAAAGTTTTAGCCCTACAAAATAAGGTCAGAATTTTATACTTGACATCCTAGCACACGAGGCTCAACTTTGATCCAACTTCTCAACACAACGGGAACTCGATTGATGTGCAGGTCTCTAGCGTCAATAGGATCCCAAAGCCAAAACCCAAGGTTGAGAAGAAACCCGCCGTAAAGGAAGAAGCTAACAAGGAGAAGACGGACTCTTCAGAATCTGCATCCAGCGAGTCTGAATCCACGGAGAAGCCGTCAGAATCGGATGCCCCTGAGAAGAATAACGATTCGGAACCAGAATCCCATGACGAGTTGTGATTATTAGAATCGGCTTTTGAACACCCCTGAGAGATACTACTCAATATACTCCGAGAAGATAGTTTGTCACCACCACAGTTTTGTTATGGCGGCCGAAAAGACAGAGGTTTGTGTAGGAATTCACGGCAGGCTAGATGCTATATGGGCGAGAAGAATTTGATGTCAATCGCTGTATAGCAGTATTGTGGTCTCTAGGGCATATGCTGTCAAGATAGCGCCTCAGAAAGGCTTAGTTGTCAGGACTGAGATGACTTTGTAGCTGCATTGTTGTACTGAAACTCATTTATGTTTTGATAACAGCTACTCCCTCTGTAAACTAATATAAGAGCATTTAGATCACTAACTTAGTAATCTAAACGCTCTTATATTAGTTTACGGAGGGAGTACTATAGAGATTTTATGTCTGGTAGGGGTATCGGTGTATCTGTTTGCTCTTTCATACTGTCAATCACGCAGTGCTGTTAACTTGCAGTTACTATAAAGGAATAAAGAGCGGATGTTTTGCTGAAAGACTAGAGTGCATACGGCTGCAGGTTGACACAACGGTGAAAACGAAATTCGATCCACCCGATTGGCTTGAAAGTACGTTATAGAATTTTGAAATTTGTGAATATCTTTGCATGACGATGACGTCGTCTTTTTTATCTGTACGTTGGTATGGGTCGCGCTCTCTAGCATTTGGGTTGAAACCTTGTTTTACTTGGTTTTCATCAGAATATTTTCTCTCTAAAGATAATGGTCCTCTTACTACTGCTGGCATCCGTGTCAGTCTGTTTTTGCTTGTGACGGGAACTGCAAGATACAGAAGTACACTTAGTGGCAAGAAGATGCTGATAATAGCATTTCATTATAGCCTAAGGTTTGGCAGAAGCGGATTTGTATCACCCGGGTGCTCCACGCCCCTATACGAACATTAAATTCAAAAAATACCAAAAAATTTGAAAAAAAATCTGAGATTTTGGGATATCAATTCTGGATTCCCGATCCGTGTGAAATTTCGTGAAAAAAATACTAGGAAACGTATTTGTGGCAAAAAAAAAGAGACAAAATTCCTATGTGTAGAAAAAAACTGTTTGAATGGATTTTTGTTCGGACAGTATTTCCTTCGCCATTGATACTTTCCCGGTATTTTTCCACGAAATTTCACACTGGAGTAGATTGAGAACCCATGTTTGATATCCCCAAATTCAGATCTTTTTGAATTTTTGGTATTTTTTACGTTTAATATTTGTATAAGGGTGTGGAGCACCTAGGGGCTCATGTGTATTTTCTAAGGCCTGGCTTGTTAGAACTGGTTCCGGCCAATAGGATATGTTTTGGGAGGGCTCGATAACAAAAGGGAACATTGTTTTGGGAGAGCTCAATAACAAAGTGCTATGTCAAAGCGAGGGAGTTGAGTGACACAACCTAGGCTGAGGCTACGTGAAGATCATAGTACAATACACGTAAGAGGGGGACAAACTCCAAAAGACACCACATGATAGCTTCGATAAAGGCAACACCGAAGCCACCGGCAAAGACCACAGACAATCATTATGAAGGAGTTGCGCCACTGCCAAACCCACAGCCGCACACACCAGATGGTGGTGGTCGTTGGCTAAGGCAGCCTGCAAACAAGGACGACGAACATTCTAACTCGTTGAGCTTGCACGAAGGATGGGCCGATTCTCCACCGAAAGGGTGGTTATTGCCAAAGGAGCGGGGAGAACAAGTGATGAAGAACACCTCGACTTGCTACCGCGGCCACTAGCACCTATAGTACCAACCTCGTCTCAACTACCTCCCACCACCACATGCCCTGACGCCCTGACCCGGTCCATCTTACACCCTGCCAGCATGTCACTCTCTCCTCACTCGTGCCTCGCAACCCCAGAATGCTTCTCACCTCCAGAATCTCAGCGCCGTCTCGTATATAAACATCCCCGAACGGCTAGCATGACACACACAACCCCGACGCTAGAGCGATCAAGAACCGAGCCAGCCGCACGAGGAGGTCGAGAAAACTGACCAAAGGTGCTCGATCGATCAAGCGAGGAAGGATCCATGGACAGGAATGGCGTCAAGGTCACCTACATCGAGACGCAGTTCGTCACCTCCGACGCCGCGGGCTTCAAGTCCCTCGTGCAGCGCCTCACCGGCAACTCACCCGTCGCCGCCACGCCCGCGCGCCAGCTCCACAGGCCGCGGCCCCGCCACGCCGACGGGTGGAGCGCTGCCACTGCTGGACCGTCAAGCTATCGCATTCCCGCCACGGCAGGCCCGGTTACCGCAGCGGCGAATGACGCGCGGACGGCCAACGCCGGCGCCACCGGAGCGTCAAGCTATCTCATTCCCGCCACGGCAGGCCCGGTTAGTGTAGCGGCGATTGAGAATGACGCGCGGGCGGCGGCGGCCGCTGGGCAGCCGTCGGGCCTGGATGAGCTGCACGGCCTCTGCGATTACACGGAGCTTTTCACCGTCGTCGGCGCGAGCGAACGGCATCGTGACGGCAGTTACAGTGGTTTCCCCTATTGAAGTGCAAGTGTAAATACACACACAGGCTCTAGGTGTTAAGATTCAGCCTTTGTAGCCATAGACAGCAGCATTTGTAAGAGACTTGGCAGCGCAAACATTTGTGTATGTAAGGTTGTAATCATTCTGGGACTTCACGATATATATTCAACATCTGGGGGCTGTTTTTACTCGTAAATCCGATCTTGCATGCGTGCTAGAGGAGAGGAGAGGAGGCACAAAATATATTCCACATTTGTCTGGGAGCATTTTTTTTTTCTGGAGACAGACGGGTGATTGATCCTTTCAACCCAGTTTCGCATAAATTTGGTCAAAGTTTACGAGGTTTGACTTCAGACAAGTCTTATATGCAAACTAAAAAGGACCGGAGGGAGTACTACACAAGAAACATACATTTCCGCATAATATTTTGAGTGCTGAATGGGGACAGTTTTTTCCATTTATGACGGAAACATTCTTTATTTGTGTGCGGTGCAACACCGACAATGGTCCCATGCAACATTGTCTACGAGGCTTTGCCTATCTACTCTACAGATTCAATGAGAAGTACATGCTTGCAGCAGCAGCTGCGACAAGTAACACGAGCAGGGACACATACAAAACTGGCTCAATCTCTTCACCAAGTACAACACACAGCGACACATACTCTTCCCAGTACATACACCAGTGTCTAGAGTTCTCAGACTACACATATCCTAAGCCGGCCCCTGCCATGCGGTGCAACATCGCCTTCCTTTTGTTTTCCAGAAAAGAAGGATCTCGAGTACGAGTACCATTCACGCCAGGTGATGCGAGAAGTAGGTGCAGAGCATCACCTCCTCTTCTTTTACTTTCACTTCTTTCCTGTTGAGGTAAGGGAGTTGTCAAATTCCTGAATTCTGCGGTTGCTTAGACCCATCCGAAAGCATGAATAAAGAGAAGATCGCAGCTCCACGGTGACCTAGCTGTACAAAAAGATAATCCTATGTTTTCCGAGGAAAACAAGAGCTACAAGCACCGACACGCGAGACATTAATCGCACCACCAAGGCGTTAGCCATATTTCATACCTGGGCATCATTCTCCGGACCAAACTGCAGCGTCAGACTGAACTCTTAAGTGTTCAGTGCTGTTTTCTAAGTTCTGCATCCCTGAATGACTAGCAGTTCTTGCAGCCTTGCGGCACCTGATCAAATTTCTCTAGATGGGCTCTAAACGAAGATTGCATACTGCAAAAATTCTGAAGCATGGGTGCTGCTTTGTAATGGGTTGGTGAGGGTCTATGGCTATGGCTATAGAAGCTCTCCCCATATTTTTCTTGCTTGGTTAGTTTCGATTCATGGCGTCTTCGTTTGTGAAATAAGTATCTCCGTTCCGTTCTACTGAGCAAAATTGATCTACCATTCAAGCAACAAGCCTACAACAGAATGCCTCTTGAAACACAAAATGGGTTCACAGAACGGAAACAAGCAAAGAAAATATAGACATGTACTGCAAGAAGCATACCATGGTGGGTGGATGTGAATAATGTTTCCTTCTACAAGATCCACATTGTCACATATTTTGGGACTGAAGATAATGGTCCTCTTACTACTGCTGTCATCCATGTCGCAATCTGTCAACGGAAGCTGCAAGAAACACAAATACACTGATAACACCGCACTGGCACGAGACGCTTAGCATAAGGTTTGGTTTGTTAGAACTTACCCCCAGTAAAAGATATGTTTTGTGAGGGCATAACAACATTAAAAGATAGTTCTAAGGGTAGCACTGCATTTTTATCTTAAATGTCTGAACACTACATGGTTGGGCAATTCAAAAAGAGTGGCCAACCGCCACGCAGAAAACTATCCAACATGCATGACTTGCACAACACATATTCCTACAATTACCATTTAATAGCAAGCATGTATTTTTCATGCGCAACAATTATTACTTTTCTTGGAAAATAGTATAAAAACAATATGTTAATTTGCTGCAAGCAATAAGTAAACGAAAGAACAGAAGAGCTTTTGAAAGATAAAGATGAAACACAGACGTTACTCTTTTCTTTCAACAGGCAGAGGCAGACTGTTAGTTTTCCTTCCAAGGACCTTGACAAAATTTGAACAGTAACTCCCTTTGAATCACCTGGCAATAGGAAGAGTCACTGCATCATCAATATATGAATACACAATTACACACTGATGAAGGTTATTACACTAACTGCTTCAACTAGCAAGTCTAGCATAACTATACAAAGTTCACGATAGCAAAACTAAGAGAACTACCTAAATAATCTCGCGCTCTGTTATACTGCCTCGAGAACTCAGCATGCCTATCTTTCTCCATCTGCATAATCTGTTGCATCCTTCCATAATAACCAGCTCTGCACAAAGAAATAAAATATTTAGAATAGCATAACATTCGGTGTTATTTCAACGCGCATTTGGTAAGGAATTGTCAGGGTTACTATACCCGGTTGATCTCATGGGGAGTGCAGTACCCTCCATATCTGTTGCAGTGAAAGCTTCTTGGAATAGGTCAGACATAGTTTTTCGGTTTCCCTTCACATCTTTGTTCACCATAGTCAAGTTGTTTCGAACAGTATCCTGTTGCAGGAATGAAGTATCATGACGAACAGTACAACTGAACAACTACCAATAACAGCAGTTATATTAACAACATACTTCCGCTTCATCCTCACTAGACGTTTCACCAATAGCATGCTCTGAGTGCTCTTCACTGTCAAGATCCCTCTGACCTAGAAGTGCTAGTATTTTCTTCCCTGAAGTCGAAACTTTTGGCTTCCCTTCCTTAGCTTCGGTTTGTTGATGAATCTGCATTGAAATGTTCAGAGACAAGCTAGCTGTTGTCTAAGAACTCCAAACAATGAAGCAGCACCAAGAAATACCCACCGAAAATGGTGTTCTAACAGATGAGGCACTTCTATCCTGTAGATCTTCAAGAAGTTCAGCAACTGAAATGTTTGCATTCTTGGTTGGATGGGCAAAATCTGGGGGCAATTCTTCAGTTTCAGTTTCTTCATCGATATTTTCGAACTGCTCAGCCATCATAGTTTCTATAGCTTTAGCTGGTCGCATTCCTGACAAAACTTCTTGTTCCCCAGCATACGAGTTTTCACTCTTTACGCCTGACAGAATAGAATTGAATCCACGTATTGAAAATTTGAGCTTATTTTCACATTTGCTCCCTGCATCAGCACCAAAAAAAGGAGAACGAATCATATACGATACACGCCCGAAAAAGTTATGCAAGAAAATATTTACATGCCAAAGTCCTGCGCCGCTTCAAGAAATATCAGAATCTACTTAATATGTATTACGGAGCATGCAGTGAATCAGTGACATACTTTTGCTTGTTCCAGCAGATAGGAGTGAGACACTATGAGCATGAGGATCTTTATGCACATGGGCTAGCTCATCAGCTTCTTCCTGAACTTCATCCCAGATGGCTGATTCATTGTGGCCCGCCATTCTGTTATCATCCTCTCTCTTTTTTGTTGTAGCACAGGCCAGCGAGAGCCTTGTTGGTTGGACATCCTGTTGATATACAATAAAAGGCAAAGCCACATGTTCAGCAAACATTTCATATGCTGCTACATGCCGAAATTTGCAGTATTGGCCAGATATGTAAGAAGATGTCAGATACATTTGCATAAAAATGCAGTGGAAGGTATAGTTTGCGCATCTGGTAGAGTGGTTCAGGGTCCAGACACAATACTATGAAATTCGTTGCACATGAGCTGCAACAATGTTTATGAAATTTATTGGCCAAGCAAGTAATGAGCAATATGAAATACCAAAGCCTATGTAGCTCAGCATCAGGAGAGGCAGCACCTCATCAGATATCGGATCCTCGAGAGAATCAGAGACGCGGTCCGGGTGCTGGTGAGAATGAGCGGATGCGCAGTCGTACTCATCGAATCTTTCCATGGCAAATGCCCTGAATCAACTGCACACATAGGTGTTGTCAGGCAGCTAGCGAAGTCACAGCACAATTGGTGAAAAGAGTGAAATGCCCTGCCTGCTGCTGGCGTGTGGCGCTGCCTGCTGGGGCGCCGGAGTGCCGGATGCCCGACGTGTCGGTCAGTCTGCAAGTTGCGCCGCCGCGCCCTCCTCCCCTCGAGGACCTCCACCCGCTCGCTCGCGGCGCCGGCGCCGCCCCCCACGATTCAGCTGGCGGGCCGCGTGGCCGCGGCCTCGGCGACTCGAGAGGTCGCGCCCTCGCCTCGCGCTGCGCGTAGCTCCTGAAGCCTTGCTCCTCAGCTCGCTGGCCGACCTGACCGCCCTGCTCGTCGGCGGAGAGACGCCGCGGCCGCCCGCTCGACCTGCCGAGCAGCAGGCCTCCAAGGTCAGGGTTCTGCTTCTGGGCCTTGCACCTGGGAGCACAATAGGCCAAATGGGCCTTTGGCTCGGCCTTGTGCGAGAGGAATGGCCCCGCGGTTTCTGAATTAATCGCTGCGTATCTTTTTATTTTCAATTCCATCTCTGCATATCTTTGGTACACACAGGGCCGGGGAATCCTTGAAATCACTAACAGTTTTGTTAAAGCACGTCTAGATGTGTCCTAAATATTGCACATCCAACTATCCAAGTCCTCTGCCATTGATTTTACATGAAGATTCATGCAAGCATTTTCATTAGCCTTTTTTTGTTCTTTCTAGTTTGATAGTTAATTAGATATACAATAACTAGAGCACATTTAAATATGCCCTAAACAGACCTAATCACTAATTTAGGAGTACTCTTTGCAAAGGTCACTCCCACTTTCTCAGGTTACGATAATCTGGAAGTTTTTCTTTTTTTCTAGATCCATTTATTCAAAAACTTTTATCTCTTAAACCATGCGTCCAAATCTTGAACCGGTTTCATCATTGTATTCCTCGTGTCGAGATCCTCAAAACTAGATCTCATGTTGATAGATTTTGACGAATTTTTTTTATGAAAAAAACTGTACAAAAAAAACAAACCAGGCGCACGCTTTTTTTTTTTTTTTACAAAAAAAGGCACGATTGTGCCTCTCGCGGAATCAAACTAATACTTCTACCTATCACCCTTCGGGTGAGTTTGAGAGACAATGCTTGGGAGGACTTCATCAACCTGAAGACCCGTTTTCCTTATGCACCGGCTTGTGGTCAAGTGCTTTCTCAAAGAAAGAGGAATGTTAGCGCTTCTACTTTGAATACTCGTGCCTTCTTTCTTTTTGCCCTTAGATTATCATAAGCGGGGAATGGTGTGTGGACTAACTATTCATGCGATAGATCATACATTACAAGAGAAATTGAAATACATTAAAAATCTATTCCTTTCAGTTCCACCTATTTTATTTCTTGTTGGCTATTCTTCCTACATATTTTCGGCCTTCTATCACAATTTAGCTCCTAGATGTTGAGCTAGGCGCAGCTACTTCATGGCCCTTCTGGGTTGGGCCACACACGTCCGTGCTTCCACAAGAAGTAACATGTGTCTCTCGCGAAAGAAAAAACATATTTTTTCCATTTTTGAGAGGCACGGCTGAAAGATCGTGGATGTCGCCTAGAGGGGGGGAGGGTGAATAGGCGCTTTAAAATAATTACGGTTTAGACTTGAACAAATGCGGAATAAACCTAGCGGTTAATTTGTCAAACACAAAACCTACAACAACTAGGCTCACCTATGTGCACCAACAACTTATACTAAGCAAGATAAACAACTATCTGATAGCAAGATATATGACAAGAAACAATATGGCTATCACAAGGTAAAGCGCATAAGTAAAGAGCTCGGGTAAGAGATAACCGAGGCACACGGAGACGACGATGTATCCCGAAGTTCACACCCTTGCGGATGCTAATCTCCGTTTGAAGCGGTGTGGAGGCACAATGCTCCTCAAGAAGCCACTAGGGCCACCGTAATCTCCTCACGCCCTCGCACAATGCAAGATGCCGTGATTCCACTAAGGGACCCTTGAGGGCGGTCACCGAACCCGTACAAATGGCAACCCTTGGGGGCGGTCACCGAACCCGTACACTTTGGCAACCCTTGGGGGCGGTCATCGGTACCCGTCAAATTGCTCGGGGCGATCTCCACAACCTAATTGAAGACCCCGACGCTTGCCCAGAGCTTTACACCACAATGATTGAGCTCCGAACAACACCAACCGTCTAGGGCGCCAAGGCACCCAAGAGGAACAAGCTCTAGGGTGCCCAAACACCCAAGAGTAATAAGCTTCTCAAACTTCACTTCCACGTATCACCGTGGAGAACTCAAATCGATGCACCAAATGCAATGGCAAGGGCACACGGAGTGCCCAAGTCCTTCTCTCTCAAATCCCACCGGAGCAACTAATGATAGGGAGGAAAATGAGAGGAAGAACAAGAAGGAGAACACCAAGAACTCCAACATCTAGATCCAAGGGGTTCCCCTCACATAGAGGAGAAAGTGATTGGTGGAAATGTGGATCTAGATCTCCTCTCTCTTTTCCCTCAAGAACTAGCAAGAATCATTGGAGGGATTGAGAGTTAGCAAGATCGAAGAAGGTCAATAATGGGGGAAGAACACGAGCTAAAAGGATTAGGTTCATTGGGGAAGAAGACCCCCTTTTATAGGTGGGGAAAAATCCAACCGTTATGCTCACAGCCCGCACAGAGCGGTACTACCGCTCCAAGGAGCGGTACTACCGCTAGGGCGGAAGTACCCCTTTGAAAAACAACAGCAAGGAGGCAAAAGGCCAGAAGAACCGCCGGAGCGGTACTACCGCTCGTCCTCACAGTACTACCGCTCGACCTCACGGTACTACCGCAAATGGTAGCGGTACTACTGCTTGCGAGCGGTACTAAAAAAATACATCCGGACCTACCACCGCAAGACTTGGGACGAGTTTTTGGTCCGGAGCGGTACTACCGCTATAGGAGCCGCGGTAGTACTGCTCTGGAGCGGTAGTAAAAAATTACATCCGCTCCAATTCGCGGTAGTACCGCTGCAGCCTTTTCATAACACCAAAACTGCCACAACTTTTGCAAACGGACTCCGAATTCGATGAAACCAAGTTTGTTGGAAAGCTAGAGACAAGGGCTAACACAATCTTGAAAGAAATATCAATAAGAAGAAAATTAGAAAAGGCCCATAAGAAAATGGTGAGGACCCTTCCTCGGATAAGACCGGTAAAACTTACAACACCGAAAACATCATAGAAGACCCATGCGAACTCCGTTTTCGATGAACTCAAGCTTGTCATCAAGATGACCATAAGCTCTAAGACTCACAAAGAGAACCAAACAAGAACCAAGAAACATGATGTAAGGATGCAATGGTTTGAGCTCTCGACGAATGATACGATCAAGCTACTCACTTGAGAGCCCCCCTTGATAGTACGGCTATCGATCCTATAACCCGGTCTCCCAACTACCACCATGAGACCGGTAAAATAGAAAACCTATCAAGGGCAAACCTTTGCCTTGCACATGATCCACTTGAGTTATATGATGACGATCTTATCCTCCTCAAGATGGACCACCTTTCTTGATTGCGTTGGGTCGATGAAGACTAGATGATTGATTCCCCATACTCCATTATGGGTGAGCCACTCTTCGGCACATCTTCACAAGTCCATTGACACCACAATGGATGGCAAGCTTCAAGCACTTGATCTCTTCGTGATTCTCCACTTAAAATTGCACACGGCAATCTTGATGACGATCACCACTTGATGTCATCCTTCCCATGGGTTGTATGATATCATCCTCTTGACGCAAGCCCATGGACCCGTACCTAACCCCACATAGACTCTCACATAGACCATGGATTAGTACACAAAGTGCAATGGACAATGCTTACGATACCATGGGATCACTTGATCCCTCTCGGTACATCTTCTACTCTTTGTGAGTTGATCAACTTGATTCACTCTTGACTTAGTCTTGATCAACCTTGAATCTTTCCAACTCTCTTCATTTGGATGATGTCTTGAAGGTAAACATGAATGATCACACAATCTTCTTCTTCAAGACATACTTGCAATAAGCTCAACTCTCAAATGACCAATCTTTGGATAATTCCTTGAATAGCACCTTGGTCGACACAAATTCTCCTTGAAACCAACACATGTACTCCAAGAAAAGCCTATGGACAAAACCTTCAAATATAACTCAAGGAAACCATTAGTCCATAGAGATTGTCATCAATTACCAAAACCAAACATGGGGGCACCGCATGTTCTTTCAATCTCCCCCATTTTGGTAATTGATGACAATCACTTTCACGAGAGTTTATACAAGGAATTATGCATCACCAAGCAATGCAACAATCAATAATGCATGTGTATGAGATGCAAATGCTTAGGAACAAAACCAAAGAAAGGAGAAAACTCTGAAGACTTCTCCACAAAACTCTCTGAAACTTCTCCCCCATTGGCATCGATTGCCAAAATGGGCGAAAAGCATAGAAGGGCAATATAAATTGTGTTCCTCCATAAATTGTGTATTTCTCAACAAGAGAGTGGAATGCAATACACATATCCAACGGTAAAACTTGGAGGAAGACCAACTATATTGAGTCACCAAGATTGCTAAAGGAATGATATGCCACAAGGACATAACAAAGAGAGAAACAAGCAATCAAGCAATCAAAAGATACCAATTGAAGCAAGCTATCAAAAGATACCAATTGAACAAACTAGGCCAAAGATCCTACGAGCTACATGAATAAAGGATATTATGATAAGAGCAAAGGAGTGTTCTAAAGAAACTAGAGAAGCTCCTCTTGATTTGTGCACACCTAAGAATTTTTGTATTTGGATACAAAGTGCACAAAATAGGATCATAGCTCCCCCAAAATCAATAGAAACTTACAACAAGTGCAAGTGAGCATATAGGAAACTAAGCCTAGTACATGTAACAAACACATGGTTGAGCAATAAGTGAAAAAGGCAACTTAAGAATGGGCTCAACCAAAATGATGTGTGTGAGTCAAGGCAATGCACTTGAGAAGACTAATGTACGGATGAGCATTAAGCATCAATAAAGTCTTGAAAAAATGAGGCAACACAGTGCAAGGCCTATCCTTCCCACATACAACTAGCAAATGGGTTCACAAGCTAACTAATAAGTATATAAAGAACCTATGCTTGTGACAACCCGTGGGGAAGATAGAAGATGAAAGCCTCATCAAGACGAGGGATACCAATTAAGATGGAAAAAGCCTCGTAGAGATAAGCATAAGGAAAATAATCTTCACCACACAAGAGTGCATCAAGATGCAACGAGATACGATACGCAGTCAAGGCAAAAGCTTTCACGGAGCCACCAAAGAAATAACATAAGAAAGGCAAGGTGGGCGTGAAAGAAAGGATATCATCTAGAGATGTAATTTCTCTCAAGTGTATAAGGTTCTAGGTAGACGAAATCATGATGATATATATCTACAAAGAAGGATGTACACCCGAAATAGTTACAACATGAAGGAACAAGATATCCAAACTGAAGTCATACATATACCAATAAGATATTT